TACATATATGTAACATAGCCTCCAAGTTTTTTAGTTGGATTTATATTAATAAAAATGTGTAGCCCCGATCCTGTTTTTCTACTTAAAATAGGAACTATAAAATTGAACCTTTGTTCGGTCCGGAAACTGCTTAAGGACACAGAAGCTACTTCTTGCTATGCATATATGCTGCGGTGTACGATTTGGAAATGTTTAAAGATGAACACACAGTTTCTCTTATTCAATCTTGAAGATGCTACATGTAAAAAAGCATGTCTATACAAATGTTTGCCACTGTAATTGACATTAACACATCCCTAGTAGCATTGATGGTTAGCCAATGGTGGCCAACGGTTGGGAGTTCGTTAGGATATGGATAGTGTTTTTGCCTACAAATTCCCAACATAGGGCCAACGACGAAAAGTTATGACAATTCTAACCGTTGGCCAACCAATACTCCAACGAAGGGCCAACAAAATGCCAACAGTAATTGCTACTAGGGATGAGGCTCGAGTTTAGAGCCTGTAACCTGTACCCCTGTCTTTGAGTGTAAGGCGTACACAAAAAGTTAGAGATCGGTGCAATATGACTGTCATTGTTTATCGAGAAATCAGAGGATTCGTCTAACCCTAGATCTGCAAACTATTGTAAAAATTACGACCTCGAATTCACGATTCTCAGAAATCAGCACGTTGTTATTAATGTTGTCAACATGTATCCAGGTTGGGCTGAATAAGTACTGTCGCTTTAAATACTTATAACGTTTCTACCACAATAAGAATAATATTTTTCTAATATAAAGTAAGTCACTGGACAGTTTCGTGATCTAGGGCTAAGTAAGTAATTCTTCTCAACGAATGGCTGCGACCCACCTGACCCCTGTACACATGGGATCATCCATACCTTACGGTCCCTGCCCACAGCGCCCATGGGCGTCATTGGGTCTGAACATGCTGAAGAGAACATCATTGGGTGTCTATTTGATAGCGTCACTCGATACACCTGCTGGCCCAAGGCGAAGTATAGGGTAGAATAGACCATCTACGTTACTGAAGTTCGATAATAATGTACATGGGTCCAATTAACCTTTCCAAAAATAGTTTCACAGATAACTAGTATATCAATTCTAATTTATCAGCTTCGATTTTAATCATAAGAATAGCCGTATTCACCGACATTATCAGTATAATTATAAATAACTTCTCCCAAGTATTACTAGTAGTGGGAAAATTTTGTAGACAGAGTTTTCTCACTTATTTTTAAACGAGGGTGAGGATATTACCCTTCCTATTTCTGATTTGATTCCGATCATTTTTTCAGAATCAAAATAAAAAAATACAGATGTTAGTTAAAATGGGTATCGATAAGTTAAAGAGGACCTGACTTACACACGCTGCAACTTTCGAAATTCTCCAACCGCGTATTCTTATTTTCCGTATCGTAAGGCTTCAAAACTGTATAAACTCGTCCTCTCGGGTTGTAATACAACTACATGGACTATTGTTTTCGGTAAGCAAGACGTCAATCGATTCTTTTTCCAACATGAGGGACTGGTAGTCAAGAACAATAGCAAGGTAATGTTTCTTTCAGACGAGCACGCACGAACTGGTTCCCGCAAGCGATTCAACTTGCAGGGAAACAATACCAATGAGATTTCCAATGTCCTTTCACATCAACACACGGGGATCAACATACATCCATAGACGTATAATAACTAGACTGCGCATTCGGCTGAAAGGACGTCAAATAGAGTGGAGTCCGTTTATAGCGACATTCAAGGAACAGAGAAATTACGTCGCTGTACACGAACGTTGTTTAAGCAGAATGAAAATATATATATGTATACAATAATGTGTATGGGAACCGAACTTAGAGAGCAAGTCGAATGCAATATGCGATCTGCTGTTATAAGCGGTGTCGCAAAACCGAACTCCACTGTATTAAAAAAAGATAACATACTCTAGGTCACCATTCTGCCTTCATCTGACATTAATTCCTTTTCATTCCCTTTACTTCTCTGTCTCCCAGGCAACGAAAATTTTGGACATATTTTACGCGCGTTTCGCCCGTATTTTCAACTATTAATAATTCGGAAACGGAGCCTCGAACGTAATTTCGTTATTCTTGATTACCGTCTCGATTTTGCATGTACGATGCACTCTGTGAAAGTGTTGCACATTTTTTTTAGCACTCTATACATATAGTGATTACAATTGCCACAAAAGCAGCATAAAGGAAGCATATCAAACCTAAACCGTTTTAGCATGCAATTCACAGTAACTTTCATATTATGATTTTCTTTCAATAAATGAAAAGAACACACTACAGTTATCTTTTCTTAAGATGTCTAAAGAAGAATAGAAAAAGCATTTTTCGGAAATGTTTAGTAGTATACAGGGTGTAAGAAAAATGTTGTCCGACCCGGAAATGGGGCACTCGGGGGGTGAATCGGAACAAGTTTTTCCTTAGCAACAATGTAATCTGAGGCTTCGTTACCGAGATATTAACGAAAAACCCCGACCAATCAGAGCGTGAGTTTGCCAGTCGAGTTCCCGCGGTAACGTTGACTACAAATCGCAGCGCGTAGCCGCCGCTAGGGCGGCAACTCAGCTGGCAAACTCACGCTCTGATTGGTCGGGGTTTTTCGTTAATATCTCGGTAACGAAGCCTCAGATTACATTGTTGCTAAGGAAAAACTTGTTCCAATTCACCCCTCGAGTGCTCCATTTCCGGGTCCGATAACATTTTTGTCACACTCTGTATACATATAATATATATTTAGACTTTATTTTGCAGTCGTCCGCGATCTCGCGATGTCATGTACGCTCAAAAACGGAAGGTGTCGTTCTAGGGTCAAGACACATGGTGCAGTACGTTCTGCCAATATACACGTATGTGGATTTGTGTAGCATGTGTGCAGGCGGAGATACGTCAGATTTTAATGCCCAGGGATTGAGTCACGTCGATGCTGGGTGTGAGAAGTCCTGGAATTGAGTGTAGGAGTACAAGAACGTGCAGGACATGAATAAGATTGTGTTGTCCAATACGAAGCATGTTTATCTGTCTATATACTCTCTCTATGCGCTCTACCGCAAAAAAAGAAGACGGGGAACTTGCTTTGACTGTAAAATCGGTTATAAGTCACGGGAAGCTCGTGCGCTGCTGGTTATTTTCAGAAATGTCTAGTAGGAAAGGCAACGATCTCACAGACAGAATGATAAAGCATGGTATAAACAGAGTGCATCGTTAACTCCTTATCACAGTAGCAGTTGTATAATATACACATTCTACACTACTTATTGTCAGCGTATACGGACCAGGTTTAACCGATTCTGTTGAAAATCAAAACGTAGAAAAACAAAGAATGCTCATTATGCACCATATTTTGATAATATCCTTTACGAAGCGTACCATCCCGTACTTGGTATAATTTACGTTACGTATCGATACTTTATGTATACAACTAATACATGACTAATGTAATGTACAAGCAACGAGTATTAAACATGTGAATGTAATTTACAAAATACTGCGTACGTGACTGACAAAAATAATACGTAGAAAATATGCAGATCAGATCATTTTTAAACCTTGATGGCTAGTTATAACCATTGAGGACCACAAAGTTAACAACTTTATACGCTGATAGATTTAGGAAACTCTCAGCTATTTTTCAAATCTGAATTGAACTTTCTACGTCTTCATTTTCCACATAATATCTCATTTTTCCCCAGAATTGTGCATTTTTATAAACAGTCATGTTTTTCAAGAACTGAAGGTGATAGAACAATTCTGCTTCCACATTTGTGTTTGCGGCGAGAAACTCAGTGGATATTACAGATCAAAATTCGCGTTGGACACTGTAATTGGTAAAAGAATTGTAAAAGTTTATGCTTTCTTCATTACGCACTCATCACGAACTGGGCAAAAACTGTTCGACTAATAATTATTGTAATATGGTAAACAATAGAAAATTCCAAAAACACATATCCCCTGTTTCGGTCCTTAATTTACACCCAATAATCTGTATAAAAATCAATGCACATTTACCAATAAAAATTACCAAAAGATTCGAATTTTGTACATATTATTTAAAAAAACGATTTTTTTTTAAATAACTCATGTGATTAAATTCCTTATCAATAAATACAGAATTTAAAGCAAATTGTTTTCCTAAACTCTCTAGTTCCCGAAGTACTCTAAAAAAGATGTTTTCAATTCCCAACTTTGAGGGCTGTTTTCACCTCTTCGATATGGATGATTGCAGATATAAAAAATACATGTTAAATATTTGTTCATGAATTATATGCTATATAAATGGCAACAAAAGCAGCGTGTGTGGATTCGATATGTTCCTTTGAGTATGCACGCTTCGTTCTTCTGTACTTTAGTATTTCAGACCTCAGTGGATGTGGTTTTGAGATATCGCAAATATACCTTCGAACGTCTAGATTTGCTGTATATATATATTTGTTTAAACATTTTTATGCTACCTTGATAACTATTTGGACACTCGGTCCCGTATTCTCGGCATTTTAAGAGACATTACATTAGACCCGTTCACACGAGCGCTCAGGGAAGGGTCAACTTCCTCCACTTAGTTTCTGAGTCATTCGACATCACGTCAATAACTTTTAGCAGTCGATGTCTGGGATTTCGTTGAAATTTAAACATGTACTTCCTACGAAATTGGAGAGGGGAAGCGAGTTGTTATTTTTCTGGTTTCAAAATTGTTTAAAAAATACAGATTCATAAAGTTTCTATTTTTTGTCGATTCTTATGAAAACTGTCTTCAAAAATGTATTTTTTAAGTATAGGCCACTTAACCATGCGTAACAAAAACTTTGTAAACAGAAATTGCTGTAATAACGTGTTCCACTAAAAACTTTAACTATAACTAACGCCTATGAATTAATATTTCAATAGAACCATATAGACATTTTTATTTCGAGCACTTAGAAATTCAAGTATTTTCTTTCAACTTAATCTATATGTTGTTTTGTTTATAATTTCTGTTTCAGGTTTAGAACGCTGTTCAATAGATCGTTGTTCAATGGCTCGGTGTTCCTCTTTATCATTAACTAATACATTACCACTTCCCTGGGAAACTGGACACATAGCACATAGTGATACAACACCTACGTGAGGTATTCTAAATACTTTTTTTTATATTTTTAATTGTCGAGCCTGGTGGTATCGATAATACAAATATTACCGTACGTCATGTTGTACCCAGGTAGAAATAATTCGATACAGAATGTTCCAGGTATACATTTCAATATTTTAAGAAGTGATAGGGGACCTCTAGTGCAACAAAAAATTCCCTATAAGACCATGTTCGACTAGCTTCCATTTTGTAGTAATGAAGCTTTAATGTTATAACATGCTTTTGAGACGGGGTTTAGTTTATGCATATTGGTACTGGTAACACATTCAAATTGGTCGTGGCCCTACACATTTCAGTTATTCGGGAAAGCGGTGTATGCCTTAGGTCACTCTAAGATTCTCAGGGAAACTGTATCGGAATCTAGTAAATAGACAAGGTTAACAACAGATCGGGGTTCTTGACTGGACACTAGTACAAATCGACTTGTATCTTGCAGTACAAGACCTGTTTCTGAAAGGTATAGCTGCTTCAAAGATATAGCGTTAGCCATAAACGTGGCTGACCCTTAAGAGGTTATGTTCAGTCAGGAGGCCGAAAAAAGAGTGTTCTTTGGGAATTTTTTTCGGCCCTGGTTGCCCCCAGGGCAGCGCGAGGGTTCACGGTCCCACACTTACTCTAACGTAACTACTCTATCTTTCAAACCAATTGCCCAATATTAATTTGGCGGACAGTAAGTCGGAACCGTACACGCCCACGAAGTGACGGTTGAGCCCTGCAACTCCAGGTGGATTGAAAAGCGAATCCACACGTTTAGATTCGTAACAGTGCGAGCAGAATCGTATTATCGTTCAACCTGCGATTTTACGAAGCACCCTTTATGTAAATATCGTATTCGTAGCTAGATAGTTTTATATTTGATATAATAATAAACCATTATGATATAATAACAGGCCTGATTTAAGTGAGCACGGTTAAACATTTCGTAACGGGTGTACATATGTAAAAATTGTTCCTGCAAAAAGTTTGTTAGTACAGAGGAGCACTTACATAGTGTAGGGGAGAGTTGGACACAACGGGGTACTTACGATTTAACGATTTGTCCTGGACAACAATGATCTCGTAGCTTTAATATATTCGTCAAATGACACAAAGGAAGACATATTGTATACTGTACAATAAGTCTAATTTAATAATTAATCATAGTTTTTTGCAAAATCGCGTTTTTTTAAGAAAAATCGAATCAGACCGTACCGTTCAATTGGTAGGACAAAACGGGGTAGTTATTGAAATCAATGTATGAATGCTTGATTGTTATTTTTAAGTGATCTGTACATAGCTATACGATAAATAGTCTAATTTATGTTAAAATAAGTAAAATTAGATAGGCAACAGAGAAGAATATGGTAGAATAATTAATTTTATTTCATGCATACTACGAAAATCACAAACAAATATTTCGTTTTTCTTTTATGAGCATTCCCAATTTCCGGACTTTAGCGATCCTGGGTTCGAACGTTGTCTGCGGGTCATGAAATTGAGGGGTTCAATGGAAAAGGGGCACATGCCACATTTACGTCGGCTTTTAATTATTTGCACTATCAACAAACTTTAACTTTATTTTTCCTGAAAGCAGTTGCCGTATAAATTTATAGTATCGTACCATGTGTCCCTCTTTCACTTTGTAAGTCCCACAATTTTTTGCTTGTTTTACTATAATCCACGCGATCAGCCATAACTTCCTCCGAAGCATTTTTCATGTGCTCTTGCTACCACGACTGTCGTGTGGTCGTTTGAACATATTTTGGTTTAGACATAGATATTACAAAATTGATTTACAAAGTTATATGAATTAAAATGAAAACGGTTGCATAAAACGGATAGTATGTACCCTGTTTTGTCCGACCGTGCACTTCGGCAGTAAAACACATGACGTTTCTTAACCAAGTAGGTTAAATATAAAATGAAAACGGTTGCATAAAACGGGTAGTATGTACCCTGTTTTGTCCAACCGTGCACTTCGGCAGTAAAACACATGGCGTTTCTTAACCAAGTAGGTTAAATATATGTCTGAAAGGACTAATAAAAACTGATTGAAATTAACTACTTACCATCCCTCCGTTGTCTATCTAAGACTCAGTACAAATCTTTAAAAAGTTACAAAAACTTCGTTGTAGAAAATCGGAACACACTGTTTTACACAAAATCGTTAGCAGCAAGTCCATCACATACAATACGCTAGTTTTAATTGTTTACAATATGTTTGGGTGTCAAATACAAAAAATGTGTACTGCCATCGGTGATACAGAAGCACATGTAGAACCTATAGCATTGAGTACCCTGTTTTGTCCAACTCTCCCCAACATACATAGTTTTTCTGTAGCTACAGTCATGGGGAGGAGATTTCAAGACCATCGTTACTTTTTTTAATGGAATGTTATACTTTTTTATTTATAATAAGATAGCATTTTTTGAGATACATTGAACGAGGTACAACATGATGTACTTGCATCCCACAGAAGGTCATAACTTAGCGAAAAATCAAGGAATGTATAATATTATGACTGCGAGATAGCATTAGCTTTCAATGTTTATTGTTATGACAGGTTATACTTAAATTATGCCAACAGAAACGTTTGATAATCAGAATGTTCAACACCTATATTTTTGGTGTGAATATTTTGGTTGACGATTATAAATTTATAGTGTTACATAAAATTGAGTTTGCACATATTACCTATTTTTTGAAAATGTTAATGCAGTATTAGTATTTCATATAGAAAGATGTTTTTCATACCTTGTAGGTATCATTACGAGAAAACATTGCATAAAAATATCAAATTTTAAGCTTTATTTTGATGAACACTCCATACTTTAGAATTTATAAAGATGTGTTTTACTATGAAAATCAAATATAATCTGTTTTAAGCACACTATTGTAAGTCACAATCATACCATGATGGAAGTTATATCTAATGAATCTGTATATTTACAGGTAGGAATGCTGCCACGCAAACGGAGGATTCGAGATCTCCAACGCATGTTAGTTAGTATAGCGTGGCGGCAGAATGGCATCCAATGCTTCGTGACGAACAACAAGTACAACGGTCATCTCAACGTCAAGTTTTTCGAAACAATTCATCTTCTTTGGTATGCGGATATATCCCTCATGTCGAAACAATCGAAGTCGACGAAACGGCGCAAATTCGACGCGATCATCGATCCCACTTGAAGATTGTTCATTTCAAGAGTATGCCCGATCTGATTCGAGATCTTGAAATAATTAATATGTAATCTCAGGTACTTACGTCATATTAAATATAAGCAAGCTAGGTACGTCAGAAAACTTTGCCAAATCAAAGCAAGTTTATCGATGACCCTTACTACTGTGTATCTATACAAAAGTGATTACAATTTTGTATTATAGGTTATCATTATCTAATGAAATATGAGAAAACATATTTATTCAAATTAAGAATACGGGTTTTTCATTATTTTAATTAGAGTCAAAGTAACTGCCTTCGGCATTAAAATACAAAAATAAGAAATAAACGTAGCATAAAATCGAGTTCTTTTAATTATGACCTGTTTGCACTACTTACAAATAATGGAGAGACTAGAGAATTTTCTAGATTATTGGACATTAGCGTTATCATTAACGTTAAATAACATTACTCTAATGATACATCAGTGAAACGCACATATTTATTATTTTTCACTAATACACGTTCATAGCAACCGCACAAATTGAATACAATATAAATTAATATTTAAGAACTTCTTTTAGCATTGTTATTACTATTAGGTAGATAATATTTTTTAAATTATGTTCCTTCTAAAACTGACATTGTAACAACGTGTTATTATCATTTTGAGAGTATTTCATCTTATTTCACATTTAAAATTTTGATAATTACGTTTTTAGTGTTTAAAGTATTATTTCCTCTAAACAATAAAGATCTTAATTTCGCGTTCTTATTATTCAATTCCTATACTTTATCATTCCATTATTTAGTTGTTTTAGAATGCAATACAAATTTTGTAAGGTGGAACTGTATACTGTTATAACTCTGAAAATGACGGACGTTCATTTTCATTAGATAATATTTAGATTTTTAAGAAATACAAACTTACAGACAGTAGTATTTAATACGAAAGGATCTATCTACAGAATGAACCATATGGCTAACGGTTTCGGATTATTTTCGTTCTTAAATTCAGAACGGAGGAACATTTTCACAAAATCCGAAACAATTTGAGACCATTAATTTTCATGACTAGATATTTATTTAACGAGAACATGTTTCTTCTCTGCATTTTGAGAGAGATTATTTGATAGCGTATTACTGTGTACAATTTCAGGTAATATTCGCAATGGGTACAGAGAGCAAAAGTACTTTATTTCTTGTGAACATTTCACAATGGTTTGATGTTGTAAAATGTTCAATTACAATATTATGTATGTTTGTTGTACTTGTTGCAGAACGGCTGGTTTTTCAAGTTCGCACAAAATGAGGAGACTCATTGACTCTCCGCGTTATGTACATGAAAGTTTATTTACCAGATTGACATACAAATCTTCGAAAAATCTGACTTCAAGGAGCAGTTGTTCTGTGACTCTTCATGTGACACGAAAAATCACATCGTAGAATTTCGATGATACTGATTCGCTATGAAACATTGTACTGTGTAGTTATATTTTTGTAATTTAATTACTCTACAAATAATCTCAGTAACGAATAAACACCAAACTGTATCCATCAAAGGCTGACAGCAACACAAATTTATCCAACGTCGTGCGGATTCGTTAGACCATTCACTCTTGGTTGAAAAGATATACTGTAGTTGTAAAGTAGACTCTTGACAATCAGATCCTGTTGATGTCGTAGGAAGCATGATTGTATTATACATCAGTGCTGTTCGCGGATGGAGCTTATTACACATTTTAAACCCCTTTCGTGCATCATTACTAACGAAGGACAGCTGCAGTAATGAACTACAGAACTTAAAGATTTTCATGTTTGATGCAAATAGCAGTAAGT